CTGTTATACCAGGACAGATTAAAAGACCTGTTATTTCCCCTCTCTGGGATCAATAAAAAATGTTTTTTTTTAATCTTACGTTTCCCCACCTTTTGCACCAAATTAATCTGAGGAGTTGATCAGCCCTGCTGTTTAACTCTAAGTTTTTCTTTGTAAACAAGACTGTATCAAATGGCTTCACCAAAATCCGGTCCACAACATTCAAACTCTCTGCCATTATGTGCAGCTTGCTACCTATCTAACTCGCTAGCTGGGACTKGYGCRAGGCTAGASTGAAGTGTGTCCGCCTTTGAGTGCTTTGTGACGGCGGAGGGGCTCAGCTGGTCAGAAACTGTGATAGAAGTTTGTCTCCAAACAYAAGCAGATACAATAAAACCCACCAGAAATAAAAACTCAATTTGTTGCTGGTCGTTTTTAACAAAGAAAATGCTGCTAAGAGGATTGGGAAAGTCTCCGGTTCAGCTGAGAACAGAAACGAAACTAAAAACTGCTCCCACAGAATGTTTACACCAAAAGATCTCTGATTCGCTCATTTCGCTGTCAATCAAAAAGGGATTCAGGCTCAGACAGATCATCCAATCATCACGAAGAATATGGGCGTCCGAACCCGCCCATTGCTCCATAGACCCCCAGAGACGCTGAGCGTCCGGGGTTGGGACAAAGCCCAGCATTTATCCAATGACTCGTCTCGTTTCGCTGCATTTTTTATTTTTATTTATTTATTTATTTATTTTTGCTTCACTGTTGAAGTCTTTGGACGCTCAGCGTCCCACTGTTTAAAGCTCTGTGAAGCTGCGGGAATGAGGGAGAGGAAAGCTGCGTCGCTACCAGTGATAAGAAGCTCATTCTGAACAAAAGTTGAGCGCGTTATAGTGCATATTTAGTCAATGACATGAACACACAACAGTGTATATTTGATCACTTTTTTTACATTTTAGGGGAAGCTGAGCTTCCCTTGCAGTCTTTGAGCAATCGCCTCTGCATCCACACACATCGCCAACAGCCAAGCGCACACCCCCAGCTGACCACCAGCCTGCGGGCCAAMCATGGCAACCAGAGGCCAGAATCCAAGAGTCCAAATACCCCGGGGAAAACAGACCGCCAGCCAACAAGCCCCGCCCCCGAGTTCATCTGTAGCCCAGGCCCCCACCAGACGGTCCGCCCCTTCTCTGAGCCCCACCCCCAAACAGCAATCCGAGAGCGAGAGAGGTCAAGAGAGAGAAAAAAACTAACAAAGACCCCGACACACACACCCCCACCCCCAGATGTGCTGTTGATGCGTGTTGTTCTAAAGTGCAATTAAAATGGGTAAGAAGAGGCAGAGGCCAGCATTGTGCCAGAAATTGAAATGTTTGTTATAAATGACTGTCAGGTACCTCATCAGATTTTAGTGCAAAGTTTGTAAAACTGACCGAAGTATAAAACCATGCTTATGTTTTCCAAGGTCAGGTGGCTGAATTTGGATGATGTTCTGTTGCTGTTGTTACTTCTTGTCTCCAGAGAGCGCTACTGTGGCAGCACGGGGCAGAAGCAGCTATAAGAAGGAAAACCTACAGAAAACAGGACACACACATGCTCTGTAATGGCATCTGATTGCATCAGCCCTCTTGAGTTGGCTTGGCTCCAAAGGTAAATCAGTTATAGATGTAGTACATCCCTGTGTGTGTTTTATTCCCTTAAAAACAGATGTCAGATCTGCTGGCACCACAAACCAGCCTCTCAAAGCAAAGGAAGAGAAATCATTTTATTTTGTTTTTATTCTGTGTGAAGTACAAAATCKTTTCCTGAATTTCAGCTGAGTGGATTAGTTTATGCTCATCTTGTCTTGCTTTGTCAGCAGGAGTTGGGGAACTCATGTTTTCAGCAACTTTACAGAGCAGTGTTGAAATCAGAATAAAAGCAGGGACGTGATGTTAATCATTTGGGAAATGGAGCTTCGGCAAGTTTAGCACCCACCTCCTTCCACAGAAGAGCAGCTGTCAGCTGCTGATAAAGACTCAGACACTCCTACTTGTACTAGGCGAGAACTTGCGGGAGCTACAACATAAGCAGCTCCTGGATCCCACTTCTCTTCTTTGGAAACATGTCTTTCCTGAACATATTTTATCATCCTGCGTGGGTCGTCTCCACCGTAGTTCTGGCTCTGGTGGTGCGCCTTCAGCGCAGAGCCCACTGGGACCCAAAGAGCTGCTCCGTGCGCCTCACAGGGAAGACTGCTGTGGTGACGGGGGCCAATACAGGTGGGTCTGCTTATTTCAGCACTTATCTGACCAAGGAGAAACAAGATGGATTGAGTACTAGACTCCAGCATCCGTCGAGTGAAACTGTAACCAAATCGATATAGAAGGTGGATTTAACATAATAAAATTTTGATGTGTTAAAAAGCAGTGGTTACATTCTTTAAAGTAGAGTATTTCCTGTCTGAAATCTGTTTTTCCCCCATTCTTTCAATAAACAATGGTCCTATCCTTGAGGTTTGCTGTTTAGTTCCCATTCTTCCCACAGAATAGTCAAAACAAATGCCCTTGGGTAATTTGATTATCTGCATGTACACTCAAAAAACAGAGTGGGTTTAATTAAAACAATTGTGTTAACTGTTTTCACTCAACTGAATAGCGTTAAGGTAACACCTTTGGTTAAGTTTACATTGGCTTAAAGTCAATGTGCTAGATCAACATAGTTTGTTGGACCACTTTCAGTCAGGATTTCGTAAATCTCACTCAACTGAAACAGCTCTTCTTGAGTCTCAAATGACATTTTAAAGCAGTGTGATAAAGGTAATTGTTCCGTTTTACCTTTGTTGGACCTGTCGTCAGCTTTTGACACTGTTGACCATCCGACTGTTAGACTGAGGAGTTGTGCTGGTATCTCAGGTGCTGCTTTAAAATGGCTGTCCTCTTACTTATCTGACAGATCAACCTTTTTGACCTCATCTTCTTACAGATCCCTTTCCTGCCCTGTTCATTTTGGTGTTCCACAGGGCTCTGTTTTGGGGCCATTGTTGTTTCTGCTTTATATGCTACCTCTTGGTTCGATCCTGTCATCTTTTGAGGATATTTCCTATCATTGTTATGCTGATGATATTCAGCTGTACATCTCGTTTTCTCCACATGAAGTTGCAAACGTGGGTCTTTTACTATGATATTAGGATTCAATAAAGAGCTGGATGAATGAGAATTTTCTTCAGTTAAATGAAGAAAAAACAGAAGTTATTATATTTGCACCAGATAAAATAATTCCAGCAAAAAAGCAGATCCTTGGGCCTCCTGGCAGTCTGGCAAAATTTTCAGTTAGAAACCTTGGTATGATTTTTGATTCTGGTCTCACAATGGATCATCATGTTAAAACTTTGGTTTGTTCCTGTTTCTACCATTTACGAAATATAGCAAAGCTCAGCCCCATTGTATCTCATTCAGAAATGGAAACTTTACTTCATGTTTTTGTTTCATCTCGTTTAGATTACTGTAATGCATTGTATACATGCCTAACTAAAACCTCTCTTGACCGTTTACAGTCTGTGCAAAATGCAGCTGCCAGGCTCCTGACTAGATCTTCTAAGTTTTGTCATGTGACTGACTCCACTGTTAATGCAACTTCATTGGCTCCCAGTTCATTATCAAGTGAAATTCAAGATTTTGGTTTTGACTTGGCAAGCTCTGCATGGTCAGACATCACACTACATTTCTGAACATTTTACATTTTTACACTCCTGTCAGGGCTCTGAGGTCTTGTGCTAAAGACATGCTGATTGTTCCTCGGACAAAATTAAAGACTAAAGGAGACAGAGCTTTTTTTTTCTTCTGTGGCTCCAAGGCTTTGGAACTCTCTCCCTCTGAATTTAAGATCAGCTGACTCTGTGGACCCTTAAAGCTCAGTTAAAAACTTACCTTTTTAAATCTGCATTTGTTTAAACTTGCTCTGTTTATTTTTAATTATTTTTGTTTGTGTTTGTTGAAGCACTTTGTGATCTCTATCTTGAAATGTACTATATAAATATTTTACTTACTTACTTACTTACTTACTTACTTACTTACTTATGTACGAAGATTCCGATGACCCATTTATCAATGCAACAACCCCAAACAAGAGGCTAGTGTTAAATTGCAGAGTGACCCTCCCTGCTTCGGTCTGTTCTGCAGCCCTTATCTTGCCTGATATGATGTGTCACCTTCATTTGTTGCAGCTCAGTGCTGATTGAACTCTGAGGCAGGGGTTTTTGTTTGTTTTCCAGGAGTGAAGCACTGACAGGTCAACCAGTTTCACCGCACACACAGGGTATATGCACCAATACTTTTATCCCTAAATAGACCTTTGGTCCGTGTTGTCCTGAGACCTACAGTCTGAAAATACAAGCTATCTTTAACAAAATCATCATGGTTGGTAAATCTTTAAACAGTATATAAACTCTAAACCACAGGTTCTCAAATTGGGGCCCCAGGACCCCCAGGGGTCCGCGAGAGGTGTCTTGGGGATCCTCAAAAAAATTTCACAAAATTGTTTATTAGTTTTTTTTAAATACATGGTGAACAATGAACTAATAAAACAAGCATAATAAACTTAATAAAAATATATATTCCCATGGTGTTTTAGGGGTTGAAATGACTATAAATTATCTTTTAAAACAGCATGGGGTTTATGAGGGGGTCCCTGGAAATTTTTTTGCCCTTGTAAGGGGCAAAAAAGGAGCGGAGGTGTGGCCAGGACGAGAGAACGCGACAGCCTCGGCTGAGCTGTCTGCCTCACACCACACCAGCCTCGGACAGAGGAGGTGGAGTGCTCCGCGACAGCCTGACATAAAAAAAATAAAAGCATAC